GGGGGGGGGGTTCTTTGTTTTCGTATTTCGTTAACAATGACTTGGGTTCTGAAATTTTAGTTTATTATTGACGCAACAAGATACTTTACTTTTATAATAAAATTAATCATCGCTCTCTCCCAGCACCTGTGTGCAAAACTTTTAGCACTTGATCAGTGCCAGATATGATTAGGACGCGGTAAATTGTTGGGCTTTCTTTTTTTCCTTTTGTTTCTGTTTGTTTTGTTTTTTTGTTTTTTCAGAGGATGTTCCAAGTTTTGGAAGATCGTACTTCATAATTGTGATTGTGAGCGATTATTACTAGATCTAGGGTAATTATTTATTTGTTTATTTACTCAAAGGGGGCCTTTTTCAAATAAGATTCTTTCTTTACTTCATAAATCAAAATGATGGAAAATCGAGGCAAACATGTGAAAAATCACCGAGAACAAATTTTTAAAAAGAATTTGTCGTCCTAAAAGTGAGTAACGAGATTGAACTATAAAAGAGACAAAAACAAAACAAGCAAAACAAACAACAGAAAAACTATGTTTCTAGATTACAAACTATTTCCATATCTTCTTCCGATTATGCGTTTCCCCAATCGCACCTCCTTTTCTTTTCAGGTTTGACAATCATTTTTCTCTATTTTTGTCCTTTCCTTTTAGTTTTCAAGTATATTAAAAAAATATCCAATGAATTTTAACATCTAGTTTATTTGTGTTTTATCTTATGTTTAATAATAATAAAATAATAAATAGCATTTGTATAGCTCATATCCCCGCTCAACAGCAGGCTCTATGCGCTTTACATTATATTATTACCCCAGCAGACCATAGAACACTCCGAAACATTCTCAGCTTTCCGGGAAGCATACAGTGCAAGCAGCTGATTAAGCGCTCAAACACTAACAAACTGGCAAGATCTTTCGCTGTCTAAAGCCGGGTACCCATTCCCACCTGGGTGAAGTGAGGAAAATTCGTCTTAAGTGCCTTTCCCAAAGACACAATGTCGCGCACCTGACGGGATTCGAACTCACGACCTTACGGTTGCGAGTCCAAGAGCCTAACCACTAGGCCACCGACGCCACAGGTTTACAGGTTTCTATTCTTTCTGAGTTGTTGTTTTTTTTACGTTAATTAACATAACTCGGAACTTATAAGAATAAGGTCATTTGTTAATTAAATAATTTTCTTATTCATTTGTCAATTTCCACGGCTGTATGAAATTTTCTGTTTATGGTGCATAATAATAGTAATGTACTCAGTTAAGAATTTTGTTTTTGAGGTTGTTGATTGTTGTTTGTTTGTTTGTTGGGGTTTTTTTGGTGTTTT